ACTATTAGAAAATAGCAGTACTATCGGAATCCATTAAAAATGATAAAATCCAGATGGCGTATCGATCTTTCTCAAATCTCTTGCGATGTGGTATACCGGCCTGGTACCCAAAATTCCGCAGCCGACATACTATCGACAGCATATTGTGAAACCAGCCATTCACTCAGTGACCTGAAGCGTATCCACGAAACTCTATGCCATCCTGGGGTTGCTCGACTTTCCCCCTTCGTGTGAGCGAAGAATTTGCCATATTCCACAGAAAAAGTGAAAGCAATAATCCAGCAGTGCTCTATGTCTTCAAGTGAAGCCGAAGTTCTGCATACCGGTCACAAATCAGCTAATCAAAACAAAACCTTTCGAATGACAGCGTGGAGTTCAAGGGACCAGTACCTACAGTCTCGCGTAATCACTACATACTCAGTTAATTAGAGAAAGCAGACCATTTGGTGAGCAATTGCTTTCAATTATTCATCATCAGACTATTACAATCATATATAGGGCTAAAAAAGGTGAGAGTAAAATCGACCAGCTAGTACAAGTAACATAGATGAAGAAACGAAACGAGCTAATTACGTGTTACGGAGGTTGACGTCATGCCGTTGACCACAGTATCCTCCGTTTTCGCGGGCCAGAGAAGCAGTAGAGTCTGGACTAGCTTCTTTGTGAGCATAAGGATGGTTGAAATAATCGAATGCAAATTGCTTCGGCCGTCGCAAGTGTACGAAGGCGTTGACTTTTCGATCGATGCAGTGGAACCTTGTATATAACTCTAAAGACACGCTTTAGATCCATCTGATGGCCACTGTCGACAATGGAACTGCTAATGGCCCCGGTCCAGACGACGTGGGCATTCACGCACTTGGACAAGTGTCGCGCCGTTCGACTGATATACGTTGCGCCACAGGCGCACTCGAACTGACAAAACCATTGAGGCGGTCAGCATGGGCAACCTATCCTTGTTTCATGGACGGACGAGTGGTCCCGTCAAAAACATGCACTTTAGCGTAGCTGCTGCGAAGGTCCACTTAATTGCGCCCGAAGGAATTCGGGTTAAACGTTCAGTAACTGCGTCCCCTTTGAAAAGTAGTCGTATGAATAGCACTTTCTTTGCAGCTGTTAACACAGGCAGCTGCTGTTTAGGATTTTCCCCAAGGTTTCTTAAAATAAATCTGTCGGGGTATCCATTTTCGTGCAACATATTCTGTATGAACGTAAGTTCCGCATTTAGGGTGTCTTCCAAGCAGATTCGACGTGCTCTCGTGGTAAGTTGCGCTTATATCTCAAAGGGACGAAGCTGTGAAAATTCGTATACTAGCCAATCCACGTTGGTTTTCTGTAGATCTGCTGCTGGATTTAGCCGTCTGATCTTCTAGTTAACAGAACATCAAGATAGGACAGCTGATTTTCGGTTCTTTTTTTCATAAGTAAAATGTAGTGCTGCATGGACTCGGTTAAGGGTTTCATCTAGGTTAACGTGCTCATCCGTCACAACGAATATATCGTCCATGTACCGATAGTAGCGGCTAAAAGTGACTATATCCACCTGCAGTTCTGTTCTTTGCAACTTCACCATGAAGATATCTACCAGCAGTGGACACAGGGGACATCCCATGGCCACGCCGTCCTACTGTCGGTAGTATTTGCCGTTAAATAGGAAATGTACATTCCCGGTGCAGCGCAACAGTAGGCTTTTTAGCTCACGAGTAGGTATACAAGTTTTTATTTCTGACCAGGTTATATAGTTAAAAATGTAAATTATTGTCTCAATCAGAGACGCTGGTGAAAAGCGAGACATCAGAAGAGAGCATCACCATCCCGTCAATATTTGCAGGCTTGATGCTTTCTACGATCTGGAAGCTATCACATAGGCCGTGAGTTACAAGCTGTTGTCACACAGTTATCGATGAGTATTCCAGATTCCCGTATGCATACGCCTGTCTTGACATGACGTCCTCCGCTATCATAAGCAAAATCAATGAATTGTTTTCTATCTTTGGAATACCATCGTATGCACATTCTGACAAGGGTTCCTCGTTCATGTCAGAAGAGCAGAAAACATTTCTGCATGGGCGTGGCGTAGCGAAAGGCAGAACCACTTGCAATGGACAAATGGAGCGACTAAATACTAATTTATGGAAGTCCATCTCGCTTTGTCTACGGTCATGAAGTCTGGTAGTTGAACAGAGCAGTGGGAGTATGTGTCAACAAAAGCCCTACATTATAATCGTACATTGCTGTGCACTACTACTGATGCTACACCGTACGAACGTATGTTCCTGTATAACAGAAAGTCACCACTTGAAATTACTCTACCACAATGGTTAAAATCGTCTGGAACTGTCCTCCTACGCAAAAATGAGCGCTCATCCAAGTAAGACCCTCTTGTCTAGGAAGTAAATCTTCCAGAAAGTAATAGAGAATTTGCTCATGTTCGGCTGCCTCATGGTTGCAAGGAGACAGTCCTTTACACCATTTAGCACCTAAGGGACACGAAGTCGATCAACTTCACAGATTCATCGGCTCCCTCTCAAACTCACTCGACTGCACCCGAATCACCTAGTGGTACACACGATTGCTCCTTCATTTCCTCTGAGATTTGTGTTAAGGTTGATAACATGTTCATCCAACAACAAAAAGCCCAGATCGTATTGTCTACGCAGTCGCCAAGCCTAATTTATAATATCGATACTTCTACTCATGCATCGGCGGGGGGAATGACGTGAATTCACATTCTTGGGTCGTCACCGCTTCTTTGCTATCATTAAGCATTGGTTCTCTATTTGGGGATATAGCCTATCGTTTGTTCCACTGTAGCTTGCGTACCGAAGTCTCTAGATGATTAAAGCCTATCTCGCAGGTCTGCATCTTCTCAAACGACATGCGTTCGATCTGCTTGGTGAATCCTACTCAATCCACGACATATACCATCAGCATCGTCCTGGTAGCAACTTGGTGGTTCTTTCACACATGTTTCTCCAGCTTGCCAAACGCGGCAGTCGCCTTCGATACGCGGATGAGCAGCTCGCTCTCCGTCTGCAGATCTGTAGACATTACGCTGCCTGGGTAGCAAACTCTCGAAGTGGATTCCAACACACCGTTATCAATTCGGATTTGAGGCAGGTCCACGGATTCCACTTCTGGAGAAGGCTGAAAAAGACGAACAGCCTGGTCTGTCTTAATGGTGTGCCCCAACTGGGCCGATGTCGAAGCGAGAACCGAAGTCATGTGATGCAAATCATCCTCGCTGTGTGCATACAACGCACAGTCGTCAGCAAACAGCAACATACAGACAGCTATCTCACACACTAGGGTTTCCGACCCGAAACGAAGGATTTACAGCAACTCACTATCAATAAGGTGCTCCACACGGACACCGTATTCACAAGTAGCATCATAAGTACAAGACATCCAATTGTTCATTTGTTCTCCGAGCTTGGTGGTTTTGCCGCAAACGTTTCATCAACATGCGAGGCGCCATCCTCAGTGCAGTGAGATGCGGCGTGCACGCCGCAACAAAACCGACAAGCTCGGAGAACAAATAAACAATTGAATCATCAACCCGAGCTACTAGTATTTCGAAACATTTTAAGTACAAGACATCATTGCATATACAGGGCAGGGACTAAGATACACCAAAGTCATCTGAGGTTTGTCAACTAAGCTACACTCTCTCCCGCATACCACTGTGCAAACATTCAACTAATCGTACGAACTTACTCGGACAACCAAATTTACCCAACACCAGCCATAGTGTCTCGCGGTTCACCGTGTCAAATGCCTTGAAATCAACAAACAGCGAGTACAATGGCTGGTGTCGCTCTCTGAATTTCACTTGCAACTGATAATCCACAAACACCATATATGTGGTGCTGCGGCCCGAACGGAATCCGCATTGCTATTCCGAAACGTGCGGTTCAACGACTTAAATGACGAGGCGGTTGAGGAGGATTCGCGCGATCACTTTATTCACACAACTCAGCATCTTGATGCCACGATAATTCGCGCAACATGGCTTGTTCACTTTGTCCATGTACAGTGATAGCACATGGACATCCTTCACCTCGGCCGGCACTTCCTCTCTAATCCACACGCATTGCGCCAAGTGACGCAGCGCATTTACCGATGCGAGTCCGTCGCGTTTCAATACTTCAGGCGAGATTCCGTCGGCGCCGGCAAATTTGCCGTTTCACAACTGAGTAAGTAATCTCTGCATCTCATCTCTTATTGTTGCAGTCCGCGCAACGTAGGCAAGTCAACCACTGAACGGTGGTTAAAGAGGCAGTCAAAGGGTGCCCGCCAGATCTGCATTCCGTATGTGTACATATGTATGTCGACCCATAGACCTCTCAGCAGAAAACGCTGTTGGTCCAGTGTAGATGATAACAACGCCGAAAGGTTATTTTAAAACCGGATCCAATGGGCGTTCTACTCGGCCAGTCATAGTAATCCAACTAGGACAGACTGAGAATGAAGTATCCGGGGATGGTTGTCTCGGACTGGTTTTTAAACTTACGAGTTGCGCATACATTTTTCAAGCTGCGAACAACATGTATATGGTAAGAATTAATTTCTGGCATAATTTAAAGATGTTGAGAAAAACTCCAAGTTAAAACCGACATATTTCCTCAGAAAGAAAAGCTGCGGTGCTTCGTTGTTTATTTGTTATCGAAAGAAGAGCAGAGAAGAACAAAAGCGGTTAAAGTTGTAAGAGGTGATGAATCGGAAGTACGTTGATAAACACACGTGAGCAGAATATCACAGCCATAGTCTCCTCAGGAACAGGTATGAAAAAGCAACTGGAACATTATGGTTTGGGCCGACACAATAAACTGCTAAAAAGGCAGTCAGATTATTCAAGTGGCGGCGTTATTCGAGATACACGAGCAGCCAACATAACTAACCGGTTTGTGTAAGCAATTAGTATCATTTCTGGCCCATAAGCGTATTTGTCAACCTGTATAAGTAAACAGAACAAAGCCAAGTGATTAGCTCGCCAGATGACTGTAATGGCACACAAAGTATAGAGTGACACTTTTGTCGCCTGGGCTTCGCGTGTTAGAACGATTAAGTGAGAATAAGCGGGGTTGGATTTGATGTAGATACTTCAAGATCATCGGATTTACTCACATGGCCAATCCAGAACGATGTGTGGTGTTTATGCCAGCGCATGCTATTCTATCAGTGATAATGAATACGAAGACTATATTTTTGGGATCCATATGGGACAATCAATCTATCAGTCGAACATGACCTGGTTGAAAAATAAAATTAGGTCATTAACAATACATGCAGAGTGACTCATTATTATAAATAGGTACCTATGTTCAGAGTAAGGAAACCCCACTCTCACCTGGTGCAACTGATCAGCAAACGAACAACACTGGTTGAGGTAAAAAGCGAACAAATCAAGTTGTGATTCCTTTGCATTTGGCGCAGGTTTTTCTATCAGTTAAATAGTTCAATATGTCGGAAATATACTCGGTGACATATGGAGGGCCATGTAAGTTGGACAAGAAATTATCCATGGTGGGCGCCGAACTATGAACTAGTAATCAGCTTGCCTCTGGTCTCTCACACTCGTAGGCTCCCACGAAGTAAACTACCAGTGTCAGTCAATTTCATCCAAAAAAGAGCCAATTGTTCTTCTATCACGCAAACGTATCTAGCAGTGTAAAACCTAATAAAGAATAGAGTTTGATAGATGTGAACGTAAGACGCTAGCCAATAAACGGAAGAGATAAGAGGAATGACCCTCACCTCGAACTTGGCGTCGGTTGGTGCCTCCCGACCGTCTATCTGGGGTCCGGAGGACGATGAACACGTTTGGCTGGATACACTTGTTGACGTGGCTAGGAGCCGATCTCATCGGCGTTTGTGTTGTGGGTTACTTTGTCCTTCCCCATCTAACCATGATCTCATTGCTGAGAGGTAATAACTTTTTTTGGCGCAACAGCTGGTTGCTATCTCTCTGTAGCGATGTCCTACCGTTACCGGTAGCTCAGATGGTGTCTCTGCTGCTAATTGGGGCACAATGGTTGAGGAGTTTCTCACCCGTAGCTAACGTGCATAATGATGAACGAATGACATTCTAAAGCCAATAAATGTCTGCTATTGTACTCTAGTAGTGATAGGATCAAAGCGCAAACTGCTACTGTGGACCGCTGACGTTGCGGCATGTTGATGTAGCGATCTAGAGGTCATTGTAACGAATAGTGTTAAACCTTCAATACATTGCCCGTATGCTACCAGTAAGTCGCCGAAGAAGCTATTCCGCCTGAACTGAACGTTATGCAGTCTTGAATCCGAGGTGGTACGACTTCACTTGAAATACTGTGTATCCTTGGGTGCAGTATCTCCGGAAGGATGTTGCTTGTATCAAAGAGGTACAAAAACTAGCGACGATGATTACTAACGATGATCGTGGAAAGTCATATGATGAGTACTTAAGAAGCCTGGGACTATTCCCTTGAAACGGCGCAGAATGTGAGAGGACCTGATAAAGATGTCCAAGACTATGCAGGGCCCCTGTGTCATCAAGTCTTTCGATCTGTTTAAACTAGCTATACCAGACAATCTGCGACGGTCTAGATTTAATACCAAATAGCAGAGGTCATTACACCTCAGGTAGAGCTGGAAAACACCTCAGCTACTGTGCCGCAATACACAAGAAAAAACATACAACAGGTGCACGCCAGCTGAGCTACCAGTAACGGATGGACATCGTTCCGGAAAGCTACCAGCCGGATAATATGAAGCAAAAAATTTACCATGCAAAATTTATATAATGCTAATAAATGAGATCACGGTTGGAGGGGGAGGCTAAGAGAGAGAGAGAAGGGCAAAGAAACTCACAACACAAACGCCATTGAGGTCGGCTCTTAGCCATATCAGCAAGTGTATTCAGCCAAACGTGTTCATCACCTTTTGGACCGCAACCAGGCAGCCGAGGCCAACTTAGAAAGGGCATTCATTCCACTTGACCGAGTCATCTCCTGGCCACCTATCCTCTTCTTCCATCCACACCCCCTGCGCGCAAACAACGCACGTCGAGAAAGTCAGTGGGCTGGCATGCGCAACACGTGGCCCAGCCGTCGGAGCCTGGTAAGTGAAATAATGGTGCTGAGCGGTTCATTTACTTTTCATGTGCCATAAACAAAGCACCGAACACGCTCGTTGCTCACACGGTGTTCCCAATAAATATGAGTCAAACTGCGAAGACGCCAGTAGTCGAATGTAAATAACCTCCTTATGTTTGCTGATTTAATGGGCCAGGTTTCACAGCCGTAAAGGAGAGTTGAACGGACGGCTGCACTGTACACTATATGCTTCAGGGAGAGTGATGTCCCGCCGGCGCCATAGGTGGCGAAGGTCAGCAAAAGCGCCTCGAGCTTTTCCTATACGATTTGTGACCTCGTCTTCAGTTCTAACGGGGCTAATACAACTTCCCAGGTAGTTGAATATTGGAACGACTTCCATCTGATACCCACCAAGGGTCCGCGCAGGACGCGGATCAGGTCAACCTTGGAGGAAAGCTTTGCACTTCAAGGGTGCAGACCATAGCCCGAAACGGCCGATAGCCAAGGATAATCTGCCCAGTGCCGCTTGGCACGTTTGGGAGCTGTCACAGATTAGGGCAGTGTCGTCAGGATATTCCAAGTCAAGAAGTCGTTCGCTTGGGAGCAGCTCCACATCTTCTAAGTCGTGTGCTTTGGGTGCGATCTCCATGGCTTCGTCAATGACGAAGTTGAAGAAGAAAGCTAACAGCAAGCGTCCTTGTTTCACAGCGCTGGAGATATTGTAGGGCGGCGATATCTTGCCGTAAGCCCTCACTTTGCCCGAGCTACACGCATATAACGCTCGGATAATATTTACATATTGCTTGGGCACACCTTTCCTTAGAAGACAGTCCCAAACAGAAAGTCGATCCACTGAATCGAAGGCACCTTTGATGCCGAGGAACATGAGAACGGTAGGCCGCCAATATATGTGACGGTGCTCCAACAACTGATGTAATGTGAATAGGTGGTCGATGCATCCCCGACGACGACAAAACCCGGCTTGCTCCTCACGAATCTGGTTTTCACAGTCGCCAGTCATTCTGTGAAGGATTACAGAGGCAAGCAATTTTGAGGCGATGGGGATCAGACGGGTTCCTCTAGGACTGCCGCAATACGATTGAGTTTCCCTTGAGAATTGGGACTACAACAGAGTGGCTCCAGTCTGTAGGGACAGTTTCCTGTTCCCACAGTTTCATTAGTAACTCGTGTGAATCATCCACAAGAATCAAGCCCCCGGGATTTAAAGAGAGTTGGAGGAAGATCATCTGGTCCCGCGACTTTACTTAACTTCAGCAGTCCGATCACACGTTCGAGTACTGAGAGAGGGCGAATCCAAAAGGACAGAACACGGAGCAGGGCGATCAGCGGTCGGCGAGAAATCTGACAATTGAAATTCTTTCAAAGTGCTCAGCCCTACGCACCAAGCGTTCTGACAAGTTGTGGATAGGCTGTCCACTCTCGTCACGTATAGTTTCACTAACACCAGGTCTCCTGCTACCCGTTTCCCGTATCATACAGAATAACAAGAGCAGCAACGACTTTCATCTCTGGCGCACGGTGAGACGATCAAGATTCGCGGTCTCACTTCAGGCTAGCACGGAGTTTTGCCCGGAGGTTTATGCCAGTCTCATTGTGTTTGCTTCTAGCCGAAACGTGCCGGTGAGGATCAATAAGTTCCAGAATCGGCGAAGAGACCCAATGTCTATGTTGGCTATTAGACTTACACATGAGGATTTGCCTGCTGCTATTAAAATCTGGTGAACATGTGACCAGTGACCTTCAACGGTATTCAGTGAGCGCTTACTCAACCCGCAAGTCAGCGTAATTCGATACCCATTCAGAACAGTTTGCTCCGCCAGTTGGCTGGTGTCAATGCGCTCACAGGATCGTCGTGAGCGTCCGCCAAAACGCACCCGCAGATCAGTACATACCAGTGCATGGTCAGTGTCCATACACATGCTCGAAATCGAGAGCCAGTTCTGGACGCAGCCTTGCCAACTGAAAATGATCGCAATGTGATCGATTTGTGTCCAAGGCTTGTACAAGGTTGGGGGACGTCATGTCATCTTCCGACGGGTGCTGTGTTGGAAGTTAGTGCTCGCAAGGAATAAGCGGGCATCTTCACATAAATGAAGTGACCGCTCACCGTTATCATTACGGGAGCCTACACCATGTTGGCCGCCCAGATGCAGTTTATCAGTGGATAATTTTCCAAACTGAGCGTTCAGATCCCCAGCCAGCACTACAGTGTCCGTGCTGCTTCTGTAGCGAAGGGGCTCCTTCTGTTGGCGGTAGAAGTTGTCTTTTACCGAATCATCGCTATAGTTTGTGGGCGCGAAGACAGCGATGAAGAATAGAGACCCATTAGTCCAGCGCGACTTCGAAGCTTTGAACGAGCCAGCCAATCGAACCGCACACACCCGGCTACTGTGATTGGTATCCAATCAACCACAGCAGCTTCAGTCTGGGGACTCAGCGCAATACCAACACCGGCTCGGCCGGCACTCAAAGCTGCATCGTCTCCGGATAGGCGCAATGAGAAAGCACTGTAGCTGTCACCTGAATCGGGTCGCAAAAGGAGCCCAGCGGTCGAGTATTGCAGGTGGGTTTCCGCTAAGCAGCAGATGTCGATCGAGAGGGTCTCCAATGTTCGGGCAAGTGCTGCATGTTGACCGACCTGTGACAATGTGCGTACATTCAGGTATGCCAATCTGAAAGATAAAGAAAGGCTCCAAATGGAAGCCGCTAAACTGGGCTTGACCGGTTGATTAGCTATGGGCTTGTCGACAGGGTAGTAGTGACGATCCGCGCTTGCATGTGAGTTGAAACTAAAAGAGAAACGCCTGCCAAAGCGAGGTCAGGGAGGGCCAAGAATTGGACGTTTAAAACGGGGGATAAAAGTGAAGTTGGAACTGGACCATAAGGGCGAAAAAGCGTAAGATAGGGAATAAGAAGACGGGGAGACCTGAGCAATAGCATCCAAACCCCTATCCACCCTGCTCGATGCAGCAGATAGTGCACCGTTGATTATCCTCTGCGACGGCCAAAGAATCAGGAAATTGTTTGAGGAAAGATTCATAGTATTGCGTGGGCAGGATATTGTCAGGTTGCTTAAGCCTAGACAGAAGAACAATTGGAGTTCTTAACCAAAGCCTATGGTTCAAAAACGTGACCGCAAGGCAGCGGGTTTGACAGCGGACTACAAGGAGTCCATTTTAAGGAATAAGGAGCCTCCCTCACTTCAACCCCCAGCCTGGAGGACCAGGTAGCTGAGTTTGTCTGGCCTCTAACCATTGACCAATCTGGTATGAGTGCCTCTGGAGGTGCAAACAGCACCACCCAGCACAGCTCAATGGATCTCTGAGGTACGCGAACCATCGCACCACGGCAAGGTCCAGCCTCATTGCGAGGTACAAAGTGGATACTAAGACCGAATCCATTTTGAATCGTGTAGTTCGTAATTACAACAAGCTTCCCTCTGCCCCAATGGAATAGAATACTGCAAAAGCCTTCAAAAAGCCTGAGTAGATTTTGGCCCGATCTGTTTCCATAATTGTGAATTTATTGAAGACCATGGCTGAGACCTCGTGATTCACGAAGATACAAGTATTGCTTTTGTTCTTGCCTCATTCCCCTTGACAAAACAAGGAGAGCAACACAGAATTAGAAGTGTCGGAAGCTCTGACTTGACTGTCGAAAAAAATATGAGACACCTGGTTAAGCGAGAGCCTATATCGTCCTTGGAAACTAACCTGACCTAAATTCAGTGAAAGTAGGTAGGCCGTTTTCCAGCGTGACCCACAGCACATACAGCAGTGGATGACAGGTAGGGAAATTGTAATTCAGTGTCTTATCGTTCCGCGGTGGTCAGTGAAACGTAGTGTAAAATCGCAAGCATTATTTCATTGGTTGCGTAGATCCACAAGAATTGCAGCGTTTGGGTCAGCAACCTAGGGTCATTTACGGCAGACAAGTTCTCAAGAAGAAAATTCGACGCGGACATAAGGGCAACCAAGTTGGATGAACTCGATCGTCACCATGCATCCGTGCTTATTGAGAAGCTCGAGTGGTGTGTCGAAACGCAAAACCGTTAAGGACAGACTATTAGTAACCTACATGGGCGCCTCAGTAGCACACAAAGGTAATGTGAAACAGCTTATTTGTGGCTTCCACTGTCCCGAGTCAACTTCATTCCGGAAAATGATGACAAAAGTCGTTGCACTCCTACAACCAGGCAGAGATTGGATCCAAAAATCTAGCATCAAACGCACCGCTGACCAAAAAGTGGGGTGACCGAATAATCCACCTGATTCGGATGCTAGGGCTTAAAACTGCCAACCAGCATGAAACCATTCATGGAGTGAAACGATGAAGAGAAGCAACAAACATCTAATTAACTCAAACAAGGTCCCAGTGATAGAGGTTAAGCTCAAAGGAAGTCACATAAGATGGCATCAGCAGTACGCTGGTATGCAGTACCGAAACTTCGCTGCCGCGCAACCACCACCGGTCGCATGCGGGCTAAGGAGATTGCGAAGGTCGCGCGGTCGTTACGCAGGCTCGAATCCGCACCCTCGGAATAAAAGGCAGATTTGTGATCTTTAAGACTACAGATTAGGGAAGTCAAAGTTCATGTCGTGTATAGCAAGTCAGTAGACAGACGATAAATTGCTTGTTCTGTCCGATTTCCGTTGGTGCTGTGAGAAGGTCCAGTGATACCAACTGACGGTGTGCAGATACTCCCATTCAGCTCAACTGGGAGTAGGTTACACTAAGACCAAGCGCCGTTGCCTGAGGACAGCTCCACCAAGGCAAATGATTGCCAATGTTTTCCGAAAAACGACCGGACTAGTAAACAGTCGTAATCTACACGAGTGGTACATACAAACCGCTGACCACAGACTCTATAGATCTTTTTTGATATGTCAATATACCACTTGATAGTAAAATGAATTAACCGATATGTCGGTAAGCAATCTAGGTGTATCAGGGAAGCACTTGTATCCCTCTTAACTTAACCAAGATAACTCGATCTCAACTCGGTCTGAATATAAAGATAGAAATATCAAACACGCATATGTGTGGTAAGACAAATTCGCGAACGAGTAGAAGGACATTCAAGAGGATTCGGAAATGATAGCCATAATGCAGAAAAGGAGACCACGGGGGATGGCAATGGGCCGTCATGAATTACAGGCTAACCGCGACGCGGCGCGACTCGTCCTCCGCTGCCATGTAAGTTACGGAAGTTGAAAGGGACAAGGTTGGCCCAATGTGATCATTCCTTTCGTTAACATCAGTAACTAGTCATGGCATAGCATTTAAAAACTGTTAAAGCGAATGTTTAGCTTACTCATGTGTACAGAGAGGCTGTTAGTCGTGACCGCACATGGCCAACCGTGTGCTTTGTGAGGATTTGTGGTGCTATATCCATGTTAACTTGTAAGCTATACCGGTCCGCTGTCTTTCCCTTGGTATAAGCTGCTGGTAGCAGCGTAGGGCACTAATGGTAAGACCTTGGGTTTCTGGGAGAGTCGGGGGATGCGCATCACTGGCGAGCCCCAATAGAACGAAATGACCGTCTGGTAATTTTCCGAATTGGTAGTGGGCTATCTGACCGAAGCTGCTGCGATGAAAGCTCAGTACAGCAATTACTTCGGGAATCGTCAGCGGTGCGCATTCTAGCCGACCGCTGAGGGGCTCCAACTCGCAATTTGACAGTCGCCAGTCTGTGATTAAGACCACTGCGCAACGGGAGACGGTAACGACTGTCGTGGCTAAGTTACTAGATGTGCTATAGCGCTTCTCATTATCCAGTGACTTGCACATTACTGTCGTGCAGATGACAGAGTAGCTCTCATATCAAGTAACGAGCTTGCCGCCAATTAACTAACTCAGGGCATTATAAGCAGTTTGGTCCGCGTACTGATTAAAAGGGAGTAGTAGGGGGATCTCGATGGTCATAGGTGTGACAAAGTTTGAAAAGCGCCGCAAAAATGAAGCATTCATGCAAAAAATGACCCCATATTCATGTTTACTTCGAAAGAGCGATCAACAGCCAAACCTTCCTTGTTGTGATCGGCCGCTACAGCAAATAGCCCAAGTGCTTCTCATGGAGAGAAAAGACAACCAATGTCGCTGTATTAAGTCTGCAGCAAATATGCAGCATTTTCGGCTGTCCAAAAACACTTTAGCTAGCAAGGGCGCACAGTGCAGTTTGGCAACATTCACGGAGTTCTGCAAACGATGCGTCACCCAGCAAATTTGCACACCGCCGGTTCGCGTACAATCGAATGATTAAGCAGAGATTCGAGGACAGCTCTCCTAAATTCAAAAGTAAATGGGCCTATATGAAAAGTGTTCAACAGATCATTTTGTACGTATGGGTCCGCACCAAAACAGCGTGCGCCGAATGCAGTGCCCCTTGTAGAAGCATTGATGAACTAGAGGCTCCTCATGCTATTCGACCCTTTTCGACCTGAACCTGAATCCCATAAGGCGAAAAGAACTGACAAATGGAGCAGGAATTCAATCGGAAACATGGAGCCAAACAACACTGATTCAAGCCCGGAGCGTCAGTACTCGCACATGACTGCTGGAAAGGTAACACACCATGGACTCGAGGCAAAATCAAACGTACACAAAAGGATATCATACACGATGTGATCATTGCATCGTGAACATGGGTTCGCCAAGCAAAGCAGCTGCGCACAATGCTGTCAGCCAGAAACGAGAAAGTCATCAAAGTTGCCCTTTGGCCTGATAAATTACTTATCGGAGAAAGACATGGAGGTTTGCAATCCGCCGAGCGATGTAGCCAACACTAAGGCTATTTCTAAAGGCGTTTCAACCCAGGCAAAGGACTGACAGACGGAGAACCCAATCCTCAAGATTGCAAATCAACCCACAGTGCAGCCAAAATTGCAAGAGGGAAAATGTCTGTGAGAAAGTAAAATATCCATTCATTTCAATGGGAAAACGATTTCAGTCAATGGCATACAGCCGAAGCATCAAATCGTTTCAGGAATATTCGCGTCCATCATGCGACACACAAACCTACTTTTTTCTCGGCTACCGATCAGGTCAACTGACGAAGCCGTTCTGAAATGCGAACATTCCTGGGTTGACCTACGAATATCCATTGATTTTACACTAATTGTATCAGTTTCGGTAACTATGCTTACAATACACTTTCGCATCAAAGCAGAGCTTTGATTTCGGCTGGGGATTAGAGAGTGCAGGGAACAAGATCAGTTCGACTGGAATCGTATGGAAAAAAGTGGATTTAATACAAACCTCTGCCATTTTGATCACTGGGACCACATCCGAACAGGAGGGTTTCGGCACTGCTCTCTCTCCCAACACTGAACTCCATTGCTTGAAAGCTTACAGGGCAAAACTCACAACCGATGCCAGTTGTGTGTGTGTGTATTGTTGTCTTTAAGTGATGTCCACTGAGATCACAGAAGGCTTAATTGTCACTCACGATAAAAACAGTTATGAGGCGAATCGGTAGAAGCCGCAAGCAGCAATGTCGCTGATGCCATCCTGTCCTGGCATGATCACCAAATGCTCGTGGTCACGCGTTGTTGGCAAGTTGTTGCCATCTTGATCTCGGATGTTTGAATACGTCAATTTGATTTTGAATAAGATCTCCCCTTTTTAATTTTTATTTCTCAGTTATATAATAATTATGGTTACATGACAACAAAGCAACAGCACATAACACTGATGAACTGATAAAGCTACTGATAACTACCCAAAAAATGCAGCCGATGCATCTAACCGCCATTCTGTCCTTTCTGGTACAAACAGCAATATCTTCTATGAAGTAATGGCCCAGAGCGGTAGAACTGCACAAGCACCTCAAGCTGTTGACAAATGCAGCTAGGTCAAGTGCCCAAGAGTCAGAGAAATCATGCATTATGACAGTATGCAAAACGGGTGCGTCAAGTACTACAACCGCAGATGTACAAAGTGCGGGTTAGACCCAATAACTCTTAATATGCTAACTGTCCACACGAAACCACTGCGAATAAAATAGACGAAATAGATGCATTTGGGAATATTTGAATCAGTAAAGAAAACGATACATGACTTGAGTGACAGATCGAGTAGGTCATCTTCACACACTGGTCGCTAAATCACATCCCTAGCTACAACAGGAAACACTCACCAATCCATTGCTTCATTCAGCCCCTCTCCTTTCAATGCAGAGGTCTTGAATATCTGGTAACGACGATTTCTAATCGCAGCCAAACCGAGAGAACCGGCCACCTCGCTGATTGTCATGCATCCGGGAATATCTTGTTTATTGGCCAAAATAAGCAGGACCGCTGAGGACAGTTCTTCTTCCTAAAGAACAAGCGACACTCCAAGTGACAACTCATAGAAATAACTCATACTTAGCACTGTCGTTAGTTAGTCTATACTTCACAATACGATATTATGCCGTACTAAACTACGCTATGCCGGCCCATAGCCAGCCTGTCTCGCAATCCGGAGGTCACGGGGTGAGACTGCCTAGAGGACCAGACCACCATCGCAGTACCCTTAGCCCACGCGCGACTGATGGTGACTGCGTGGCATCAAAGCCCCAATACTGCGTACAGTCGTACTGTTGATGCCCCTTTTCTAACCTACACCATACTGCTATCCCAAATACAATGGTAGCACATGAGATTCACTCAGTCAAACCTCACTTCCGTAGACTAAGGGGTGAGGCAAAAATGGATTATTTATGAATAAGAGGATTATAATTGTAATTTGTAATGTATTCGTCCTAGCAGCTCATAAGCTACATAGCTCAACCACAATCTGGAAAAGCATCAGACGCGTTTCGACCTATTGCGGCTCCTCAGTGGTGCGCACCACAAAGAAAGAGTGGAGTGAACAAGTGTAAACATCAAGATGACTACCTCATAACCAAGAGAAAAAAGTGAGCGTATACTAACCTCCAACATAGAGACAAGCTCTTGTTTCGAAATGCCGACGCGATCCCGATCCATGCTGTCCACCACATAGATAATGGCATCAGTGTTGGAGTAGTAACAACGCCAGTATGGTCTGATGCTCGTCTGACCACCGAGATCCCAAACTTGAAATTTCAGGTTTTTGTAAACTACCGTTTCAACGTTAAATCCGATGGCTTGCGGGCGATAAAACAGATAAATGCGAAACCAATTCAGTAAAAGTTTTCAGGAACCAGAATTTTCTGCCATATTTGCATGAAACATGATAAGGGAAAATGTGGTTTTCACTATAATTATTACACACAAGCAAGAGGTTAAAAACACCTCAGATATTGTGCCGCTAGAAAAGGAAATTAAATAGGCGTAAAATAAAAAAGTAAAAAGAAAAAATGTACGCGTTGAGAATGAGATCTTCGTTGGGGTTGAAGGATAAACGGGATGATGAAAGAAACCTACAACCGCCAGTGAAGTCGGCTATTAGCCATGTTAATAAGCGTCTCCAACTAAATCTGTTCGCTTTGAACCCCAACCCGAGGGCCGAGAGGCAAAAACCCAATCCAAATTCCAAATGAGAGCCTCCATTCTTCTTGACTAAGTTATCGACTGGGCTCCTATATTCATGTGCACCCGGCCGGACAAAATGCACGTCGAGGAAGTCGGTGTGCTGGCATGCGCAATACCTCGTTTAGCCATCGGAGCCACGTAAGTGAAATAACGGTGCTGAGCGGTTCACTTGCATTTCTTGCATCAAAAAGTGGTCGGCGGATACGCTCATCCCTCACGTTGTGACATGTCTGTCGATCGGATAGACTAATCTTCGAACCAGACATCAGGAAATGACAAACGGAAACATTGTAGACTCTACTCTACGCGGATTGAGGCAATCACAGAGGGATCAGTTTGATCTCAATTGCCTCCAAGTTGCTTGTCATTGCCGTGCCCCATAGACTGACTGGCACTCATGAGTCAGATTCACGAGGAGCAAGCTGGATTTCGCCGAAACGAGGTTGTATTTACCACAACAACTACATGGTAAGCGAATTTTTGGAATACCACCATATCTATTGGCGACCCACCGTAATTGTTTCTCGACATCGAAGTCGTCTTCGTTTCGGTGGATAGATGTGCCCTGTGGGACTGTCTGCACAGGAAAGGTGTGTTTGAGAAATACAGTAACATTATCAAAGCGCGTTATTGGCATAGTTTGGGCAGCGTTAGGGCTTGGGCAAACTGTTGCCGTCCTTCAATATCCTCAGTGGTGTGAGACAAAGTTCCTGCTGTCTTCTTTCCTACTTAACTTCGCCATCGACGGTCATGAAAATTGTCTTCATTGAACGCGAGTTGGAAGGTGTGAAGCTGCTCCCGGGTGACCGACTTCTTACTTGGAGTGCGCCGAAGACATTGCCCTCATCTGTGACAACTCCCAAAGGTCGTTTGAGAAAGTGAAAACAATTAGTTCCTTTCAGCAATTAGAAAAGTACAGCAAGAAGGCGACAATTGGTAGATGGAAGCATTTCGCATTGTCTCTTCAGTACCAATAACAATAATCGATGAGAAACAATGAAGAAGGCGGATGTGACCAAACAAGGAAACAAGCCTTAGGATCAAGATGGACGAAAACGATTCGGTCTTTATGTCCACGGAAGCCTGAGACTGACGAATAGCTGTTTGTGCACGCAAAGCATAGGCTGCATTCAGATAATCGCGATTGCCTCAGCGAGCAACATGTCAGACGAGACCATGTGTTCCCTGGATGTGGAATCTTTCTCCATTAACGTCCCTCTACATGAGACTGTGGATTATATGTACGAACTAGCTGAACACTCTAGATGTTCATTGTCGATTCCGGCCGAATTACTAAGAGATTCCTTGTTGCCGTGTGTTGTATCTACACGTACACTAGTCCCCTGCACGCAGGGTCTTGAACAAACACGACCAAAGCCCCGAACGAGGAAGCAGAACTCTACTGGTACGCAACACAAACTTCTATTCACGCCAACGGTACATACACTCAGTATATTCAAAACAACCCTGGTATGGATCGCGAACGGACAGGCATCCAATCACAAGCTACGAAGTGCGGTCGTGGTAAGGCCCGCGCGTACGCGCTGCCACACTACTCTCCCTCTTCAGCGGTTGGTTCACTGCGGTGGCCCTCGTTTCAGGACATTGCTTCGGTTGAAGTGCTGAGTATAGCTGCCTGGCGTTGACTCGTCGGCCGTCTGCTAACTCATAAGTTCCCGGCCCTAGCGCACGAGTAATTCTGATGGGTCTCGTCAGTGCCGGTTCTCCTTTACGTATTTGCCTCTCCTTTAGCCTGACCAAGGTTCCAGGACGCAGCGATGTGGCCCGTTTTTCGTAGGATGACTGATAACCCCGGCGACGTTCCAGTTTGTGGGGGTCGTTGTTTTCTGCAGCCGAAATAGCTGCGTTTAATTTCGTACGCAACTTCCTGCCAAACATCAGCTCACCTGGCGTGCGATGTTCGGTGAGTAAACAGAGCCTCCAAAACGGCATCTTCCCACTGCCTGCCGGACAAACGTGCTGTCTGTATAGTTTCCTTTAGCGTGCAATTAGTGCGCTCAACCATGCCGTTGGCAGCTGGGTTGTACGGGACAGTATGTACGTGCTTCACATCACGAAGCTGTAAGAAACGTTTAAACTCATAGTTCGTGAATTGTGGTCCGTTGTCTGTCACAATTTCCTCAGGAAACCCAAATCTAGCAAACAGATGTTTCAGCCACCGTATAACGGTTGAGGTGGTCACATCACCACACAAATGGATTTCCGGCCACTTACTGTAATAGCACGTGGCAACTAAGCAGTTCCTCTGGTGCTGTGGCGCAGAATGAAACGGTCCCATGATGTCAATCGCCACCTTCGACCAAGGTTTCATTGGATAAGTAACAGGTTGGATGGGGGCATCGATTGGTTTGGAGCTCTTGTCGGCCTTCTGACATGCATCGCAAGACCGGACACACGCCTCTGCCATTTTATTCATTTTTGGCCACCAAAAGTATTCTTGAAGTCGGCGCTTCGTCCGTACGATACCCGGATGTCCTTCGTGTGCACATTGGATAATTTTTGATGTCAGTTTCTGTGGAGCTACGAATCGCGATCCTCGCATAAGGCAATCATCAACAACCGCTAGCTCATGTCGTAAAATATAAAACGCCCGTAGTTCACCACTCAACTTCGCGTAGCGAGGCCAGCCTTGAGAGAGATAGTGAATGACATCTTGCACATATGAATCACTCCGGTTAGCTTCTTGAAGCTCTTGTTTAGTAACCGCGGAGAGCTCATTTGATTGTAAAGCAGAAATCATGACTTTTTCTTCGTCGTCTTCATTCTTGTCGGAATCATCCAATGGGAGACGTGATAAGCTATCTGCCATACGGTTTTCGGAGCTAGGGCGGAAGATGATTTGAAAATCATAGTTCAGTAACCGCGCATACCAGCGGTTAATCCGTAGTGGCCTGTGACCATTGGTTCCTCGACTGAGGAGGGTAGCCAGTGTGTTGATTTTCACTTTCAGAACACGCCATACCGTCAAGTCAATGGGCAGCCCACTGGCCCTTTACTGGCTGATCTCTTTATGTTCATGGTCGAGAAAAGAATGTCCACGGAGATATACCAGCTGCCATACTACAGGCGATATGTTGATGACATTTTGGCTTTCTGTCCATCAGAGCAGCATATCACCCGGTTGGTTGAGCGCTTCAACAGTGCACTTACGAACTTGCGCGTTGTCTGCAAGCTAGAACGAAAAATTGGTCTGCCATTCTTGTATCTCTTCATCAGTCGCAGAGCTGACGTACAGGTTAGGAGATCCGTCTACCGAAAGGCAACAGGGTCTGGCCAGTACCTGCATTTTACAAGCTTTACACTAATGCGGTATAAGCGGACACTTTGAAGACCTTATTTAGTCGTGTCAGACGACTATGTTCGGCAGACTGTCTAACTGATGAGTTGGGACGGATTACAGCCACACTGATGTCAAACAATTACCTTCTAAGGTTTATAGGGAAGAACAGCAAACCACGAAGAAAAAAGAGCTTGGTAAAGAAGACAAGCAAGAAAGTTTATAGCGAATAACCTTTCAAGGGTGATTACGTCACGTTAAGGACAACCAAGGGCCGGTGGCCGAGTGGTCTGCACGTTTGGTTTGCAATCATAAGGTCACCGGTTCGAATCCGCGTAGGGGTGGGCGTCCTCGCGGTATACTCAGTCCGCGCGCGACAATTGGTGGTCGCGCGGCAGCGAAGCGCCGTTGCGGCGTACAGCTGACACATCAACATTTTTTTATCGCTGCTGCGCATAGGACCTACTATGTTGCTCAGGTCATCATCATCAACCGAACCAGTTAATTGCCGGTACCTCATCCGAAGCTCTGCCAATCGACACCAGTTCCACTTTGTATACCAGTTCAAATGTAACTGAAGAGCCAGTCACATTGGCGGAACCGAGAGCATTGTCTTCCCGGATGAAGGACACGTACCAAAGTGGATCCTGCGTGGGATAAACGAAAATCCTTATCCTTCCCAGGCCCTGTCGTTGAGTAAGCCGCCGGAATCCTCCATAGGTAAACACCTATTGATGACTGGTCACCGGATTCGGCTCGATACCGCATTGGAAATTGTGCTGCGGCATTCTAATTCGCGATTCCTTCGTTTCGCTGAGGCAATCGAGATTAGCCGAATGCAACCTATGCTGTGCGTACACAAACAGCAATTCGTCTGCCTGCCTTCCGTGGACATAACGACCAAAACGTTTTCGTCTATCTTGACCCACAAATTGGTTTCTTTATTTGATCACTGCCGTTTGTTACGGTTTCTCATCGATTATTGTTATTGGTACTGAAGAGACAGTAAGAAATGTTTCTATCTACCAATTGTCGTCTTCTTGTAGTACTTTTCAACTCCCAAACGTGCCAAGCGCTAGAAGTTATCTGTTTTAGGCTTTACTTTGCATCTTTGAAATGCAGTCCTAAAAGATTGTCAGGGAGCAACTCCTGTGCTGATTCTTGGTGGGGATCAGCTAGAAGTAGTTCAGATATTCAAGTGTCCTGGCAGCTATATCAGCACCGGCGGAAAAGTAAATAAGATCGCAAACCGTATAGCAAAAGCCCGATGTTTTTTCGTCAGTCGAAGCCATCAGTGGCGTCGGCGCGACATCA